CCAGACTGATATACCTGGCAAAGCTAGAATTCACATTCGATGGAGAAATGAAAATTTTTAATAGCAAAGTAAAACTAAATGAATACATAAACATTAAGCCAGCATTACAAAGAATACTAAGAGGGGGGACACAACCTGAAGAAAGCAACCAGGAACTGGGACCTGCCCCAGACAGGCATTATTCAAAGTCTAACTGAGCAAGCACAGGATGAAAGGAAAGAAGAAAAACTTAGGAAAATGGAATGACAGGGACAACAATGCGTCTCTCTATACTTTCCCTTAATATTAATGGGCTTAATTCTCCAATCGAAAGAAAAAGCACTGCAGACTGTATCAGAAAACATGACCCATCCATCTGTTGCCTTCAGGAGACCCACCACTCAGCCAAACATACAAACAAATTCAGAGTAAAGGGTTGGAAAAGGATCTACCAATCACTTGCCCACAGTAAGAAAGCAGGTGTAGCTATCCTGATATCTGCCAGAATAAACTTTTCTTTAAAAATCAGTACAGAAAGACAAGGACGGACACTACATATGAATAAAGGGAACAATCCAAGAGGAGAATATTGCCATCATCAATTTATATGCTCCAAATATTGGTGCACACAGATATGTTAAACAAATACTCTCAAACTTATACAATAAAATAGATCCCAATATGATAATACTACGAGACGTTAACACACTACTCTCACCAAAGGACAGGTCTACCAACCAGAGGATTGGCCAAGAAGCTACCGAATTAAGTGAGGCCATACTTCAAGCGGAATTAACCGACATCTACCCACTATTTCACCCTACAACAACACAGTACACATTCTTCTCAGCAGCTCATGGAACTTTCTCCAAAATAGACCATATCAGAGTTCATGCAAGGAACTTAAGCAAACACAAAGGGATTGACATAATCCCCTGTATCCTATCTGATCACAGTGGAATCAGGCTACATCTCAAAAACAAAGCATACCACAGTAATTTCGCTAATACATGAAAATTGAACAGCACACTCCTTAGCAATGCCTGGGTAATGGAAGAGATCAGAGAAGAAATAAAACATTTCCTAGAACACAATGAAAATGAAAACACCTCACAAAGAAACTTGTGGGACACAGCAAAGGCAGTCCTGAGTGGCAAATTTATTGCCCTCAGTGCGCACAACAACAGAATGGAGACAGACCAAGTAAATAATCTCTTGTTGCAATTAAAACAGCTAGAAAAACAAGAAAAAAGGAACCTAAAGTTACTAGACGAAGCCAGATAACCAAATTAAGAGCAGAGATTAACCAATTAGAAAATCAGAAAATTTAGACAAAATTAAACAAGCAAAAAGCTGGTTCTTTGAAAAAATAAACAAAATTCATGGCCCATTGGCAAGATTAATTAAAAAAGAAGGGAAAACCCATATTAACAGGATTAGGGATGCCACAGGGAAAATCACAACAAGTACCCAAGATATCTAAACAATCCTAACAGAGTACTTTCAAAAGTTATACTCTCTAAAGGAAGAAAACCTGGCAGAAATGGATGCATTTTTAGAGAAATACAAGTTGCCCAAACTGAGCAAAGAAGAAGTAAACCAATATCCTACAACGAGATACAGGAAGCAATCAAAAGTCTTCCAACAAAAAAAAGCCCAGGTCCAGATGGATCCACAGCAGAATTCTATAAGACCTTTAAAGAAGAACTAATACCCATAGTCCTCAAGCTCTTCAGAGAAACAGAGGAGGAGGGAGCTATCCCAAACTCATTCTACGAAGCCAATATCACACTCATCCCCAAACCAGGCAAAGACCCAAACAAAAAGGAGAATTACAGGCCAATTTCCTTGATGAACACAGATGCAAAGATCCTTAACAAGATTCTAGCTAACAGAATCCAGAAACACATAAAAAAAAAATACACTATGACCAGGTAAGCTTCATCCCAGAGATGCAGGGATGGTTTAACATACGTAAGTGATTAAATGTAATCCAACACATCAACAGAGCCAAGGTCAAGTATCACATGATTATCACCACAGATGCAAAAAAAGCCTTTGATAAAATTCAAACATTCATTCATGCTAAAAGCTCTGGAGAAAATAGGAATAGAAGGAACATTTCAAAAAACAATAAAAAGCCATTTATGACAGACCAATAGCCAATATAATATTTAATGGGGAAAAGTTACAACCAATTCTCCTAAAATCAGGAACAAGGCAAGGATGCCCACTGTCTCCACTCCTCTCCAA